TTTGAGGCGATTATAGCATCCTTAATATTAGTCCACAGAGTATTCATATTAGTGCGAGAAGTTGGGAGATCAACCAATTTTTTTAAAGTGTGACAATTGTAATGGAAATTGGTGTATTCAGCGAATTCAGCCCATTTGGATGAGTCCATTTTTTTAAGGTTAGGAACTTGACGACGGGTTAGATTAAGTTTGGACTTGGCGATTTGTTTCCTTGTAGGGTTGGCGAAGGAGGCAATGACAATTTTATGATCTGTTGAGTAAAGATCAGGAGTATCTATGAAAGAATAAAGAAAGTCTTGGGAGAAATTAGCAGAAGCGAATACTGTGTCAATACGAGAAGTTAAGTTTCCTCTTTGAAAAGTGGGGGTGGGTGTATCATGACAAATGTCATATAAATCGAGAAAATCATGAGCGAAAATTTCATTATAGAAGTGAAAGTAATATGGTTGAGCTATATTGTTATTGACATTGGACCAGTAGACATCTAAATCAGCATTAAAGTCTCCTAATAGGATGACACGAAAGTCGTCTTTGAGACCAGAGTTAATGTGAACAATGATTTCTTTTTGTAAGGCTATGCGATTCTTTCTGGAGGAGGAATCCTTGGCGGCATGAAGATAGATACTGAAAACTCTGAGTTTGGTATTGCCTGGAAGGAACAAGTCGATATAAATGAAACGATCGTTATCCAGGAATGCGCGCTGGATAAAGATTGCCCAGGAGCGTTTTACTAAAATACCGACGCCAGCGTGAATGTTGATTTTAGAGCTCCAGAAACTTAAAAAATTAGGGTCATTCTTGTTGCGAAAAGACTGATTGTGTTTGTGTCTGGTTTCAGTTAGACCAACGAAATCGACATTGAGATCTAAAAATGTATCGTTAACGAATTGATTTTTTAATTCACATTGGAGAGAGTTAACGTTGTTAGTAGCAAAAGAAATAGTGGGAGTGTCTTTTGAATTTGTATGTTCATTTTGTTTTGTAACGGGAGTGGATGTATCATTATTATTATTGTTAAAATCGTTGTTATAAATCATGATTGGAAGAGGTGAGTTTGGGTGAGAAGATTAATTTTGGGGGATCCTGCTGGCAAGGTCAGCAATCTGAGCCATTGCTTCTTTGAGTTGTCTTTGTTGATCGGCGATGATTTGGTTTTGTTGATCCATGTAAGCTTGACTTTCAAAGTCCACGGCCTTTGGTTCAGCTGGACCAGTTTCATCTGAAGATGAAACAGCAATTCGAACGCGTTTTGTTTGTTGAGGTTTAAAGGATATGCGTTGCGAGGATACAGTTAGGAAAGGAGTGGGTTGAGAAACAGTTGGAGTAATTTTTTTGATCGGTTTAAGTTTCTCGAGTTCAGTAATATGAGATTCAAGATCATTGATAGATTTTTGCATGCCAGCGAGCATGCTTAGGATCTGATCAAGTTTTTTGTTCGTTTCATCATTAGATTTATTTTTGTGAGGATTGTGAATTGAATCATCGACAGTTTGATCTTTGCCTTTTCCTTTATTGTTTGGTGGAGGTGGAGGATTGGCATTTTGTTGATCGTTTCTATTCTGAGAAGAAGTTTTTTTTAAGATGAGAGAACGAGACCCAGCAGGCTTAAATCGACTGTAAAGCCTTTGAACAGAAGGAAGTTTGGATCTTAATTTGTTAGTGTCGACAGGTTCGTCTTTCAAAGCAGCTTTATGCTCCAAGATGATGGGGCAATTCATCACGATATGGTCAGTAGCACCACATTTATGACAGCATTTTGAGTCAACGGCGCACCATTGAAGTTCTCTGTTCCCAAAAGCATAATCTACTTTAATTGCATCATTGAGGGCCGTAGCACTTTCGAAGTAAAGAATGGCAAACGGACGAGGTTTATAATTGTTGGATCGTGGAATGTAAACTGATTTAGCTTTAGCAGCTAATGAAATTTCTTGAATGTCACGTGCGGTAGTCCCATATGGGAGGTTAGTAAGTTTGATCCGATAGTCATTACGTAATTTGACTTCTTCTGCAGTGAGACAAGCAGGGTACACCCTGACACAATCATTGTAGATGTACCTAGACCACGAGGAGTAGAAAAGTTTCACCGCATCTGCATTGTCAAACGTAACAAATGCAGTTTGCCACAAACCACGAGTATGCATGCGAATGGAGGTGATCGTTCCGTATTTAGAAAAAATTTGGGAGATGTTCACTTTTTTTAAGTTCAAGTGCAAGTCAGTGATACGCAAAGTACGCTGTTGTGTTTGTGTAGCCTCCTTATAAGCTTCATATTCAACAAGGCGGTCGATTCTTAAATCAGGAAATGTTGTACTAAGAGCGGCTTGCATAGATTCTTTATCATCAAAATAGATCACTGCTGATCTAACCATATTGATACGTTTGACATTGAGGCCCCTAAAGGCGTCATTGTGCGCAAAGTGATTGTTGATCGTCGAAATAATCTTCAGGGTCTGGAGCTCTTTTGTAGATTTCCCAATAGTTGCTGCGACGGCATGGGGAGAAGGGCTAGGAATCATAATGAAGTCCTTATTGTCAGTTTCCATAGTATTATCATCGTCGTCGATAGGAACAAACTCGTCTTTATCGAGAACGTTAGGTGGAAGGGTGTTATTAGAGCCGTAAGTCTCAACTACGATATCTTCGTCGAGGGCAGAAAGTTGTCCAGTTTGTTCAGGGCGAGGGTTGGAGCCACTTGCCTCAGGTTGTTTTGCAGTGAGTGGGTCGAACCGTTGAAGGTTCTTAGGTTTAGTGGTAACAGTGCGAGGAATTTTTTTATTACCCATTTTATGTATTGAAAACTTGTAAATAAAAACTCTTTGAAGTATAAAAGTCTTTTGTAGCGTGTAGAATATAAAGCTAACTAACGGAGCTTGTAAAAATATAAAAATATTATAAAAGAAAAGATTTTATTTTTCTCAAAGAAATTTCCGAAATTTCAGAAATTTGGGGGAAAGGAGAAAGAGTTTTTTCAAAAATTTTTAGATTTAGATTGGTAATTAGATCTTTGATTGACCACATTTTGTGACCACATTTTGTATTACCTTGCTCAAAATCAATATTTGTATCACATGCGTGGGCGTATATTATTATAGCGCAAATTAAAAAATTCCGTTTCTTTCTTCTACTTTACAACATGGGAATAATAAATTTTTCGCGTAAAATTGAACTAGTATTATCATTTATATCAGCATTATTGATAGCATCACAGTGTGGCTCACAATACTTATTTTCTGCTTATAGCACATCAATTGCTGAAAAATTGGGTTTTACTTCGGTACAAATTAACACAATTGGAAGTTCGGCGAATTATGGAGTATTTTTATTCACACCATTATTCGGTTACCTTGTTGATCATTGTTCATCAAGATTGTAAGCTATTGAATAAATAAATAATAAAAAATAAAGACAAAGTTAATTGAGATTAATTTATTTTTTAGAATACCAATGATTGCATCATTTACTTTATTTACAGGATATTTTTGTATGGCGATGACTTATCAAGGGTATTTTAAATCTAAATCGGTTATTTTATGTGCTCTTTACATGTTTCTTACCGGGTTGGCTTCTTCTTCAGCATACTTAGCATCATTGAGTACAATCGTCTGTAATTTATAATTAACTTAATTGATTTTAATTATTTTAATCATTATATTAAAGAAAAAAAAAAAAAACTTTAATTATAGGTCACAAATTTTAAATCTTATCGTGGGATAGCACTTGGGGCGCCTGTCGCGTTATTTGGATCAACAGCTTTTATATTTTCGCAAATTAATTCGTTGGTTTTCAAAGGAGATACATATCATTTCTTATTATTTGTAGCGATTTCAACGGGATCAATAATTTTTATGGGAAGTATATTTCTGATCAAGTTTCCATCCGAAGGGGAATCAGATGAAGAAAATTTATCATTTCCGCCATCATCATCATCATCAACATCAACAACAACAGCCATTAATCAAAGAGATGATAATGAACGCGTTCCTTTATTACCTTCCGAGCAACAACGCAAACAACAACGAAGGAATGAAGAACCGGATATCGGAGGGTGGGAATTATTTCAAGATCTTGAAGCAATAACAATCGGTTCTACAAAGCTTTTAATGGCAGGTGTAGGATTAATGTACATTAATAATGTGGGGACAATAATTAAAACACTTTATTTATCAACTCACGATGATGATGCAAAAGAAATCCAAAAATTTCAAAATTTGCACGTCGCATTAATATCGATATCCTCTTGTCTTGGTCGTATTAGTGTAGGATTAATGTCAGATTTAGCGAAATATAATTATAACGTGGGAAGAATATGGTTTTTATTGGCCGCCTGTTGGTATATATTTATTGGACAAATGTTGGTTGGATTTATTATTACCGATTTAAGTAAATTGTGGATAGGTACAATTTTGATCGGATTCGGATATGGTAATACATTTGGTATTATCACCACTATTACTTCTGAATGGTTTGGTAGTAAACGCTTTGGTATAAATATGTAAGCCATATGTTATTTTCTTTTCATTTTTTTTTTTTTTTTTTTTTTTTTGTACAAAGTTAAATTAAGTCATGAATTGCTTTTACATTGCTTTAGCGGAATATTTTCTTTGGTAAGTTATCTAATATTCTAATGAAACTTGCTTATTCGTTGCGGGTTAAATTTCATGGTTGGAAGTAAATGTTCAAAGTATTAGATTATGTTATATGCGGAGACCCGTGAAATCACCCGTTCATTACAAAATCTACTAACCTTTAATTTTACATTAATCTTATAAAAAAAAAAAGTTTCCGGCGTTTGGCGGACAATTCTTCAATTTCTTTTTCGGATATAATTTTGATTATCATAAAAAAAATCAATGCTCGGGTGTAAGTTGTTATAGTGCTGCTTTTTATATTACTGCAACCTTTAGTTTGCTTGGAATTTGTATTGTTTCTAGTTCGATATGGCGGCAATCTAGAAAGTATGGAACAATGTGGAATGTTAATTAAATGTTTCTTTATACGTTATTGGGAATTTAAATGAATGATTATTTGTAAATTCAGTTTTGTGTGAGAGATTTATTCAATAATAACTAGAGTGGCGTAATGCATTACGCAAGACTCTTATTTGGTTAATTGATAAATCATCAAAATATAAAAAAGTGTCATTATATATATTATTTTTTCTTTTGTCTGAATTATAATAAATACATTTATTGAAATCATTTCAGGATTCCAATTTTATATCAATTATTGTATAATTATTATAATTTGTTAATGAAAATAATCTTTAAGGTTTTATATTCTTTAATTACATCTGAGTTAGTTACAAAAGCAGCTTTGTCAAAATGATTCCTATTAGAACATTTGCTTAAGGCAGTATATGCAGAAAATATTGATTCATCCTATAAAAAAAGAATGTCCGGAATTTAACAGGTAAATTTATTGAAATAATAATGTACAAATTCCGAACATTTCCATTGTCCGGAATATGTTTCAAATCTTGGTGGTTTCCGGACATTCATTTTGTCTGGAAAATGTCGTTGTCCAGAATTTCAATGTTCGATTTCTTTAGAATGCAAAATTGGACATTTTCCGGACATTTTTCAGATAATTTCCGGACATAATCCTGTTTTCCAGACATTTTTCAGACATAATTATATTTTTCTGAACGTATTCCATTTTTCTGAATGTTTTTAGACATTTTCACTATTCATAATATCAAATTTATAACTTAATAATTTATTAATATTTAATTTAAAATTATTTT